AGCCTGGTTGGGGAATTCTGGGAGTTGAAGTCCACCCATCTTCAAGTCGCCAAGGCTGAGGAACCCTGATCTACATCATACAAATCCAGTAAAACCGCTGGTGGAAGGTTGCCAATAAAAGGCAGAAAAGGAGCAGTAATCCAACACGGGGGATAACTGAAACAATGCAAAAGAAAACGTGTAAACATTAACTAACAAGATGAAAGGAAAGGAACAAGAATTGGTTGAATGTTTGTCTAAGAGGGTTGAGACTACAGCAGCAGAGAAATCTTTTGACAGCGCAGCCACTGTGCTGGTCAAAAAGGGCTGTAATGAGCAGGTGGGAGGCATGAGCCCCCTCCCCCAAGCATGTGTATAGTGACTGGGGTTGGGGAGACCACCCAATTGCTCAGCTCACTCTAGCAACTTCGGACTGGAGTCCTCAGGCCTAGAACCCGCTGCGTCCCATTTCACAGAAGACAGGAATCACATCAAGATCACCGCCCTTACAGCGACAACATGCAACAAAACCAAAAACTGTAAACCTGAACCAGGAATGATCTCTTGAACCAGTGAACTCCCCACCCACCCGAGAAGTTGGCTGATGCAAGCCACAGGGCATACAAGAGAGGTCCTGAAGTCCACCTCCACCCGACCGTGCAAGAAGCCCCCTTCACTCAAAGCTCCCCTTTCTCTGCTCACCTGATCCTTGTTGGCCACGGAGGCCCTCACCTCCGGAAGCTGCTTCAGCAAAGGACGGCGCCCTTTCTGCTTGTAGGCATGGCCCAGAATGTCACTTTTCTGCAGGTCGGCATACAAAACAGGGACATTACGCAGCAGAGGAATCTTCTGTGGTTCAGGACCCACCACCAGCTTTCCCTTAATCTTTTCTGTTGGTGTCTTTCAACAGCCTCCTGAACCATCCCCCCCAATGATGTTCCAGAGGTCTTCTCCCCCAAATTGGGGTAGGGTGCCGGTAGAGCTTATGTGCTTATGGAGTATGGCTTGTCTAGACATCTAAGATCTTTTCTCATTGTTTTCTATTTTTTTTAAGTTAAGCAACCCATAGTCAGGCAGCTTCTAAATCTAAATAATAACAGCAACAAGTTTTCAGCTTCCTCCAAATCCTTCCCTGAGGTCCCCTTTTCCCTCTAGCTAGCAGGACCTACTGTTTTCCCTACCTCTTATTCATCCCCCACGCCTATGTTTGTCTTCCCCCGGGCAGGCTCCCTGGAACTGTATATTCCTTGAAATAGATACCTGGGTTTTGCTCCAACTGAGACCAAATTCCCAATAATAATAATAATACCCACCATAACAAGACATCTTCCTCTCTATCCCTATGAACCTTACCACATGCTGTGGGATGGGGGACTGAATGGAGGTTTTTCCCACTAACATATTTCTCAACCTGGTTCCCCCTTCCTGGCCATCTAGATAGGCAGTGAAGACTGTTGTGTTCCACCTAAATTGTTCCTCCTTTAACGCTAAGCTATAGCTTTCCCCTCTAGATTTCTTTCCTGGTTCATATGAGTGCTCAAAGTAAGATTACCTTGACTGATTTTTTTCTGTTGTGATTATCTGTGGAATGGAAAAGGAAGGTAAAACAGTTGTTCCTCCCCTTCCCACCCAGCCAGGAAACTCACCTTCCCAGACTCTTCCCATTTCTGAAAGGAAGCCTCAATTTGCTCCTCGCTGTACTGGGCCATCCGTGTCTCTCTATGGATCAGGTCCTGCATCTTTCCCACAGCGTCGAAGTCGAAGGATGACTTCACACTCAGGAACTCCACCATCGTGGATTGCTGCTTCCTCTGCTGACTCAGGGTCTGGACAATCTTGCGGGTGCTCCTGGGGGCAACCAAGCCAAAGGGAGGAATACCCCAAGTGGACCTCTTCTCCCCAAGAAAGCCCCAAAATTCTAGGATAGGAACGGTGACCTCTCACTCCAAAAGCACCTTAGGGTGTCGAAAGGCGAGGAAGGTCGCTCTGGGGCCTTGCTCCACTGGCATTAATTAGCATTAGGTGTCTTCGCAAGCCATGCCCTCCAGCAGCACCATCCTTACAAGGCGAGGGGACTCTGCCCTTGCATGGTCTAACTAGACTCTGCCCCTCTATTTTTCTGCTCTCTCTTTGAGGGTTTCCTCACAAGAAACTGGTGGGCAAAATATTAGCTGTTTCTTCCCTCGACACCTTGACAATTCCTCCAATGTTTAAAAGAATAACACATTAGCTACTGATTGAGCAAAACTGGCCACTTTCTCCAAAACAGGGGGGCCCTGACCTGAGGAAAGGAAAAACACATCAAGTTCACCCAGACTTCCTGGCATTTTTGTTAAAGTGAACACGACATAGCTGATAACAGGTTAGGCTGGTTGCCATCTTGACCTTTTTGGCTGGCCTCCCCAGAGGTACCCCGGAACAGGTGTCTCTCTAGTGGAATGAGTGCAGGTGTAGGGGAGAGACCACCTTCATTTCCCCTGCTTCACATGGGAAGCTGTGCTCAGCAAAAACTGGAACTAAGAACCAGAGGTAAGAGCAGCACAATGAGCGTTTCATCTCTTCCTGGATGTGAGACGAGGGCCACGTGGTCTGCATCCTCGATTATAGCCTTTGGGGCCCTCGGTCACTTTTAAGAATGAAAAGGGTTCCTGCGACCCAAATGTCTGAGAACTGCTGCGTTGGATCCTTGTCTCAGGGCCAGCGGTGCTCTGTTGAAACCCAAGCATGCTCAGATGCGGGAACCAACCCCAAAACGGCACCACTTCCTCCAAAGGCCTCGGAAACTCGCTGTTAAGACGGGTTGATGTGGAAAGGAAGCGCGCCCATCATCGCAAAACCCCCTTTTATGAGCCAAGCTGTCCGTTCACTCACTCCCAGTGGGGTTGTCGGCCTTCATTGAGGACTCTCAGGGTGTGTAAGGATGCCACGCGACGGATCTCCTCGGGCACTTCTGCCGGCATTAAGTTTGTGATCCCCAGTCTCCACAATGACTGCCCAAAGGTCCCTGAGAGTCAAGCCGGAAGCAAGATTAAGTAGGGCTCCAAGACAGAATTCTAGCATCACGACTGAGGTTCCACACCGGGCAGTCACAGCCCAGAAGCCTTTCCAAAAGGGAACCCTTTATTTTAGTCCAAACACTTCCCCATCTCTTGGTAGATGCTTCCACCATGCCCTAGAAGCATGGGGAAGCCACAGCCTTTGCAACTAAAATAAATACAGGCATGTTTCCTTGATTTACGTTATTTATGGAAGCTGCAGAATTCACCTTTTCTTGGTGTAAATGCTACATTTATCTGCTGTAGTAATATACAATATATTGGCTTGGTTTGTAGAGCATAGGACCAACTAACACCAACCACAGGGAGTTGCAATGAAGGAAACAAAGGCAGGCCAGCCCATCTAAACTGTACCAGCTCAAAGAATGCTTGCCTGGGCAAAAAGGGTTTTTCCCATTCTCCTGGCCCACCTCAAATCAGCTCCTATATTTCCTGTTCAAGATGCAGTGCAAATGCCTTACCAATGTGCCTGCCTGTCAACAGCCACAGCTTAATTGTGCAGTCATGGCTGGCTGTGAGAATGGCTTGGAATTTTTCCACATATTTGAGGCTGACCACATTCTTCAGATGCCCCCTCCAAGAGCTCAGGCAGACTGGAGGGATCAGGGAGGTGACCCAGCCATCATGTACCTGCACGGAAACAGGTATGGAATGCGTGGTGGGAAACTAGACCAACCCAGAAAACCTTGGACGACTTAAGGAAAAAGAAAAAGAAAAAGAAAAATCCTGTGCTGAGGGGTGCTAGTGATGGTGGACTAATTCAGAACCGTCCTTTCAGTGGGCTCTCTGCTATGACATTCCTATTATTCAAAATTTCAAATATACACAACTCTCCTTAGGAAGATCTCTCATCAACATTGCCCCAGTGTTTTAACATGATAGGATGAGTATTTTCTGTGAACCCTACTATAATTTGGTATTTTGAAAAACATGCTACATTTGTTTAAAGAGAAAGCAACTGGTGGCGACTTTAAGATGTTAAAACAATGTGAGACTTGGACATTAGTTGACATCCATCTCAACATGCATATGCCGACTATGTAAACCTTGGATGCAAACTTACTCATGATTATGCAAACTGTACTTGGGAGTGAGCCTTCAGTGTTACGTTGACCACCCCAGCTCAATTTCTCAACTGGGCATTGAAAACTGGGGTTGGGAGACTCTATCATACTACTAACCTGCTGGATTTTTCTATCCTCTGAGAAGGTTGAAGCAATTCTGCAGTAATCAGGGATTAAGTCACGAAAGGAGTTCTTCTCAGGAGGAGATTCCTCAGCCAGATCTAATTTGGAGTCTTGTGTATTTGGTCCTATGCAGTAATTCATGATGTCCCAGATCTAGAGAAAGAGGACAGGATGGTACCCAAAGGAACCTACCTTCACTTCTGGTCCATCTTTCACCTCTTTACATTTTCCCAGCCACTGGATCGGCCAATCACAGCCATGAATACGTCACCCCATAGCTTTGCCCTTTAAAACTCAATATTTGCTCCCATAAGACAAATAGTTGGCACCAATCTTTGGTATTTGCTCGGTCATAAGTACACTCCCATGAGAATTCTTCCACATGTCAAACCAACTCATATCCAGGTCCAACATGAGAAAGTCAAGATTCAAGGGACAGATTTATAACTGCTTGTTCAGCTATACCCTGTCTTTTGGTTCTCATTCTGAAAAATTATGAGTTTGGGAGAATTGAACTTGATGAATTAGTTGGCAGTTTTCCTGGTATAGAATGTCTTTTAAATCTATTTTGGCAATTCATCAACACTTGTCTGTAAAAATAATTCATAGATGATCCTACGTTGTCTTAAAAATACACTATAATAATCAATGTCTAGATTGTGTTGGAAGAGTTGTAAGCAAATTGAGACATATTACTTTTTCTAGTAATAGTGCCCAGTATTTACTCATATGGGTTGGCAGGGTTTGAGAAACTTGGAATTACATAACACCCTTTAATTATTAACGCTAGTGCAGCTTCATTGTCCACTTTTCCAAGGACATAAAATGAGGCAAAACACAAGGCGTAACTCCAAGTGTGTCACCCCCGGAAGCAGCATGGATAGATAGTTTTCTTAGTCTGATGAACTTTTTACAGTGAGTCACTCTTTCACTGTCTTCAAACACAAAGTCAGCATCCCTCTAGGAACACCTTGGGAGGGA